TGATAAATGAATTCAGTAAAGTAGGAGAATACAAAATCAATGTACAGAAATCTGTTGTATTACTATACGCTAATAATGAAGCAGGAGAAAGTAAAATCAAGAAAATAATCCCATTTATAATTATCAAAAATAGAATATTTAGGCATAAACTTAACTAAAGAGGTGAAGGACCCGTATTCTGAAAACTATAAAACACTGATGAAAGAAATTTCAGACAATTCAAGAAATGGAAAAACATTCCATGCTAACGGGTTAGAAAAACAAATATTGTTAGAATGTCTATATTACCCAAAGCAACCTACAGGTTTAATGCAATCCTTATCAAAACATCAAAAGTATTTTTCATGGAACTAGAACAATCTTAAAATTTTTATGGAACCACAGAAGACCTTGAATAGCCAAAGCAATCTTGAAAAATAAAAACTAGAGGTATCAAAATCTCAGACTTCAAGTTATATTGCAAAGCGGTAGTATTTAAAACAGTATGGTACTAGCATAAAAACAGACAAACAGATCAATGGAATAGAAGAGAAAACCCAGAAATAAACCCACAATTATATGGTCAATTAATCTTCGACAAAGGAGGAAAGAATATCCAATAGAAGAAAGTTCCTTCAACAAATGATGTTGGGAAAACGGGAGAGCTACATGCAAAAGAAAGAAACTGGGGCATTTTCTTTCACCATGTACAAAAATAAACACAAAATGGATGAAAGACCTAAATGTAAGACCCAAAACTACAAAAAATCTAGAAGAGAGCACGGGGAGTAATCTCTCTGACATTGGCCATAGCAACATTGTACTAGATAATGTGTCCTGAAGCAAGGGAAATAAAATAAAAAGTAAACTTCTGGGACTGTATCAAAATAAAAAACTTCTGCACAGCAAAGGAAACAATCAACAAAACTAAAAGGCAACCCACTAAATAGGAGAAAATATTTGCAAATGACATATCCAATGAAGGGTTAGTATCTATAATATAAAAAGAATGATACAACTTAATACTCAAGACAAATAATCCAATAAAAAATTGGAAGAAGACCCAAACGTGTATTTCTCCAAAAAAGACATACAGATGGCTAACAGACACATGATAAGATGCTCAAGAAATGCAAATCAAAACTATAATAAGATACTGCCTTACACCTATCAGAAAGGCTAAAATTGAAAACACAAGAAAAAGTATTGCTGAGGATACGGAGAAAGGGGAACACTCTTGCATTATTTGTGGGAATGCAAATTGGTGCAGCCATTGTGAAAACAGTATGGAGCTTCCTCAAAAAATTAAACACAGAACTACCCTACAGTTCAGTAATCACACTACTGGGTATTTGCCCCAAAAACACAAAAACACTAACTCAGAAGGATACATTCACCCCTATGTTTACTGCAGCCTTATTTACAATAGCCAAACTATGGAAAGAGCCCAAGTTTCTATCAATAGATGAATGGATAAAGAACAAGTGGTATATATTTACAATGGAATATTATTCAGTCACAAAAGAGAATGAAATCTTGCCTTGTTGTCTTTGCAACGACATGGATGGAATTAGAGAGTATTATGTTAAGTGAAGTCAGTCAGTCAGAGAAAGTCAAATGCCACACAATCTCACTCATACATGGAATTTAAGAAACAAAACAAAGGAGCAGGGAATAAAAAGAAAAAAGAGAGACAAACCAAGAAACAGACCCTTAACTATAGAGAACAAGCTAATGGTTACCAGAGGGGAGGTGGGTTGGGGGATGTGGGAAATAGGGAAGGAGGATTAGAGTATATTCATCATGATTAAAAAAAAAAAAAAAATTGGGATTTAAAAACTAATTAGGAGCTATGAGCATAAGCAGTCTTCTGAACTACAAGATTATCTGTAAGGGCAGTCCGATGGCCTTTTTGTATAAATATCTTTATGTTCTACAGAACAAATGGGATAATAACACTGGGGTTCTCAGTATTTTCACTTAAACCATTTTTGGAATGGTACTCTGGTACCTGTTACTTCAAGTTAGTCTGATGTCCCCAGACTATAAGTTTTCTGTTTGCAGCCTTTCTAGAAAATATATACAACCTTTGTTTACATGGGAAGGGGTAGTTACTATAAAGTGTGGAAAGGGGCTTTCTGGCAGTAGTGAACTCCCCATGAGAACATGCCCCTTACGACGGACCTCTTGCACTTGTCCCGGAAGAGGAGAAGGGGAAGCACAAGAAATGTTTTATGCAGAGCCTCGACCCCTACTTCATGGACGTCAAGTGCCCAGCATGCTACAAAATCACCAGTCTTTGGCCATGCACAAGGGGTAGTTTTGTGGGTTGGGTCCTCCACTGTCCTCTGCCAGCCTATAGCAGGAAAAGCAAGTTTTAAAGAAAGATGCAAGGGGTACCTGCGTGGCTCAGTGGGTTAAAGCCTCTGCCTTTGGCTCAGGTCATAACCCCAGGGTCCTGGGATCGAGCCCCGCATCGGGCTCTCTGCTCGAGAGCCTGCTTCCTCCTCTCTCTGCCTGCCTTTCTGCCTACCTGTGATCTTTGTCTGTCACATAAATAAATAAAATATTAAAAAAAAAAAAAAAAAAAAAGAAAGAAAGATGCGAAGGAGGACTAAAGCACCCTGAATCAGATGAGTGGGAAACTATCTCAATAAACACATTTTGGGTAAAATAAAATAAAATAAAAAAGAAGTATGGAAAGGGAATGATATTTTAATACCACCAAATTTTGATCCTTCTGAAGATTCCAAAGAGCAAATTGGTTACTTCTTGGCTTTCTAATCTAGGAAATATACATCAAAGTTTTGCTAAATTACTTATACATCAAAGTTTTGCTAAATTACTTATTGCTTGTCTTTCTTCCTAGGTCAGAAAATACTTTTGTGTCATCTCCTCTCCCTTTTTTTCTCTTCCCTTCTCCTTGTGGATTTAAGTCTTTAAAAAAGTATCCCTTTACTGTAGTTTTAGTTTCCAGAAAGAAGTGAAATTAAATACAAGTTTTTATTCTAACACTTCTATATACCAAATCCTAATATACTAAGCAGGAATTTTCATTATAAAAGATTTTGGAGCCAAATAAAAAGGAAGTCCTATAAACTAGGACTCAAAAAAAACAAAAAGACAGAAGTACACTTTCCTTTTTTTTGTCCCCAATTCTGTAATAGATTATACTTGTTCTATATTTTGCCTTTGTATCTTTTGTGAGCAAAACCACAAAAATTTGTTTAACATTTTTATTAATAAATTTGACTAAAAATAACTTTAGCATATACTAAGTCATATTCAGAAGTGTGTAATACAAATGTAACGGGAACTTGATATTTACCTATTGAGTATTAATAATGCTTTGTGGATTTAACTTATTGGAATAAAACACACACTGGAAAGAGAAAAAGTATTCTGGGTCATATATGCTGAATTTCAGTGTTGATGTATAACCTAGCTATTACATGGACATAACAGACTCATGATATAAACTCTAGAGGTCTTAGTATGTAAAGGTATATTTCTCTTTTATCCTTTCGCCCTCCAATTGGGGTAAAGGCAGTAACAGCTGAAAACAGATTATGAAATCGGAATAACTGGGTATATATAATAAGAATATATATATGAGAATATAATACATATATAATAAGAATATTTATAAGGATGACTTTAAACACTGTGCATCAATGGTACTAAAAAAAGAAACTCAAATTCTTGTCTCATGAAAAGAAATTCATTCTAAACATGTTGCTGTTCTTAAAAACAAACAAAAAACCCCAATTTTAAAAATTAGCTCATGTTGCTGTTTTTCTTACAAAAAAAAAAGACTTAAAAATTAGCTCTGATAATCTCTAGTCCTTTAAATTTGAAGCATTTATTTATTTTTTAAGATTTTATTTATTTATTTGACAGAGATCACAAGTAGGCAGAGAAGCCAGCAGAGAGGGGGGAAAGCAGGCTCTGTGATGAGCAGAGAGCCCGATACAGGGCTCAATCCCAGGACCCTGAGATCATGACCCGAGCTGAAGGCAGAGGCTTACCCCACACCCCACTAAGCCACCCAGGCGCCCCTAAATTTGAAGCATTTAAAGTCTAAGCTAAAGAAAGTACTGAGATCAAGATTTTAATGTGTAGTATGTAAGAAAACGAGCTCTCAGAAAATCCAAGGTCAGAGTCCTAGTGCTTCTATTTATTTATTTATAAAGTGGGTATAATTAACAGAATTAATTTGTTTGTTTTAGCTATTATATTTAGTTATGACAAAACATCATTTGGTTTCACTGTCCCCATTATACAAAATTTATTATGAACATGGTTGTGGGGTAGATTCAGACCAGACATTGTAACTTTATAAGAATCACAGGAAGGAAGGTCAGAAAGAAGAGAGTACTATTAATGATACACAGAAAAACAAAACAGAAAAAAGAGACAAGGATGCTGGTGTCATCAGTCCTCTTCTCTGTTGTGACTGGGCTGTGTTTCCAGTATTGGTCTGTTTCTGTCTGCCTTCTAATTTTCAAGGTTTTCTAATATTTTTTTCTAATGCTGCTACAAATATATTATTATGAAAAAGTCCTCTATCATTTTTAGGGATTTTCTAAAAGTGGGGAGAAACCTTAGTCTGTTAGGTTCCTTTTCACCTGATAAACAATTTATATAAAATGCAATAAATTAAGAATACTTATTTTTGTCCTGGAAAAACAATACTTGATTTCAAGACCATCTCTCATGTAAGAATACTAAAGTCAAGTGGAGATCATTTTAAATATTCAATTCTATTAAATAATATACAAGTGGAAACTTTAAACCTTGATAAATAAAAAAATGAGGGAAGCAAAGGACCTCCAATTATAAACAATACAACCATAAGATATAATTGGACCTACTTTTTTTTTAAACAACGAAGCAAGTATTGGCATTGCTTCAAAAAATATAATCTAAATGGATCTCCAGGTTGTTAACATCTAGAGGAAATTTTATTATAAGTACGTTAATAAAGTTAATTACATTTGTGGTTCATGACTAGGACTTACCAAGTTCTGCTAAGTTGCCAAATGCAACAAGACACATTTCTGTAAGAGCTGCATTTTGGCAATGGATGCCCAATAATTTCACTAAGGTAGGTATAACACCCATATTGATAAGCTGAGCTTGAAGGGAATCTGTAAAAAACAAACAAACAAAAGTGTTTATGTATCAAATGGACATTAGTAAAAAGAAAGCACCGCTTATTCTCCCTATTGCAAGATCAATACCATTTTCAATTACAGTAAAACAAGATTAAGTCCATCCATACAACTGCCTGAAAAATCTTAAAACATTAGTTCACAAGAGTTGAGTTTTGAATCTTTTCAATGATTAAAAGAAATTTAGAAAAGAACAGAACTCAAATAATATGTCAAAACATAAATTAAAAAAAAAGGTCTTATACCTTCGTAGAGTAAGCTTTAAAAATATATAAATAATTAAACATTATCAGTGATCATTATGTGAAAAGGTTAGACAAAATAATATTTGTATTATACTGTATTATAGGAAAGCAGAGTATACGAAAAGCAGAGAAAAAATAGTTCACAAAGACCAAGAGAAGACAGAATCTTAGAATCCCTTAAAACAGCTGCTTTAGAATAAAAAATGAAAAATATATATAATATACAAAAATCATTTTGATTATTTGTAGCAGAATGTTCTTCGATGACTGCTAGGAAGGAAAGTAGTTTTATAAGGAAAAAAATGTTATTTAAAATATTTTTCTTTTCGAAGTTTTAATAGTGACAAGCATCATAGTAAAGAAAGGAAAATTTGGCTTCAGAGGTGAAGAGTATGAGATCAATACACTTTGTCATCATTGCTTGCCTTCATTTTCTAAGAAAACTAATTAGTTTTAAAGTACTTAACAGGCCTGGGATTTCCATAATAGCTCTTCATGAACAAATTATGGCAGAATACCTGTAGCAAAGCTGAAGGTAAATAAGCCAAATGAAAATCAAAAGTTCTGCCTCTTACAATAAGCTAAGAAAGATATAAACATTCACATGCCTATGCAAAACACTATTACTATTAATAACTTTCATCCAAAGATACAGAATGCTTTCAGAATTGTTTCTTTTAAAAATTATATGCCATTTTCAAGCTAACAATTCTCTCCAAATTCTTTTTTAGTTACCTATTGGGAATCTAAAGATAAAAATCCTGTTTATTACAAACACATTTTCCTTAGAGTGCGCATCCCTTGACAGTCTGCCTAGTAATCTCTTCATCACTCTTTCCAGTTCTTAACCAACTGATAAGGAGGTGGTTGCGTGATTTTCAGATAAGAACAAGAAGGCGGATTGAGTTGCCTCACATGCCAGTAGATTATATGCCTGTTGGTCTTTGAAGTCAATTTTTCCTGCTTTTAGAGTAATGTATGAAGGGGAGAGCCAACAGAGGCTCATCACCCTGAAAACTGATGAGTGGGTAATTACGCATACTATCTGGTTCAATTGTGGGGGGCCTATTACCAAAACAAGAAAACAGGCCTGGGAAAAAGGGAAGTTTACATTTAGAGTTCAAATAGTCTAAAATAATTTCAAATTTTGCAATGGAATTATGAAATCTATTCTAAAAAGAGAAAGAATAAAAGAGTATATTCAACTAAATGACTTGATCTTATGCCTTTAATGTTACATATCTCTTCTTACTATACAAACCAGCAATTGATGATTCACAATATCTGTATTATCTTATAAGCAAATTACTTAGGTTATAAGGTATAGTATTATGTGTTTTATTGGCAGAATACTTGTATTATGGTTATAGTATTCATAATGATCAAGCACCAATAAGCTTTCCAAGTCAGAAATTACTTCGATTACTTACCAGTGAAGTTCTTTATTATTGGATCACCTTTGCAGATCTTTGTTCTTTAGCAGTATTTTTAACTTTCATTTATTTATTTACTCATTTTGACTATCTCTTCAAATACTGTAGAACTGCTGAATCATTAAGTTTCAGGTATGTAAGCGTGAGCACTAGCGCATGCATTGAGTGTGAGTCAAACTCCACTAAATGTCTGCATATATGTAAGCATCACACACCCCCTCAGTACTGTTGGTACCAAGTATAAACATCCAACAGTCCAGGGACATCAGAGAAATAACAAATTTTATGAAGGGGATAACTCAACAGGAGAATAATACCACTTAGAGGATGATGTTCTTCATATTCTCCTAACTTGCATCTCTACCACTTTACTGGACTGCTTTTAAGGTATTACGAATTTTGGTTCCAGAGAAATGAGGGACAAAAAAACAGAGGAAATGTTGCATAGTTTCATAAAATCTTTGGCATACAAATTTGAAGCAGTAATATTTGAAATTGTGGTAGATCAGGAGAAAAAGAAGCGTAGTCCAATGGCAGTCAGTAGGTGTGAATCACCCTAATTTATGAAAATCACTTTGCTTTGGCAAAATGTGTTTCAAAGCTACCCAGGAGCCAAATTAATTGTATACTCACATACAACACACATATCACACACAAGTAAAGAGAAAAATTATATAGTCATCCAATGGGCATACTCATTTTTGACTACTTGGGTGCTTTCTTTTATATCCACTCCTGTGAGGCTAACTAAAACAAAAATTACACTCAAATAACTCTAAAATCTGTTCATACCAATTGTAGGCAAGTCATTCTCCTGGATAATGAAGGCCCAGATGAGGAAAAAACTTTACTTAAACAGACTGATACAAATTTTCATTTCAAGATAAGCAGGCATCCTAGAACATGGTTCTCAAAATGGGGTCCCCAAAACCCTTTCAGAGGATCACAAAATCAAAACTACTTTCATAAAAATACCAAGATTATCTATGCCTTTTTCACTGTATTGATATTCGCACAATGGTGCAGAAACAGTGGTGGGTGAAACTGCTGGGGCTTTATTATGAACCTAGTCAGTGGCACTGAATTCTGTTGGTGGTCATCATGTTCTTCCCCACCACACATTCACAGTAAAATAAATGCTGTTCTTCTCAGCAATTTTTTTACTTTTGCTATTATTTTTTTCTCAAGTAGGCTCCATATCCAGCATGGGGCTTGAACTCATAACCCTGAGATCAAGAGTCACATGCTCTACAGACGGAGCTAGTCAGGCGCCCCAGCTGTATTTTTAATTTTCTAAAGTTATTTTTCACAAAAACACGTGGCAATGTTATTATTTTTAAATGCAGTATTAAGTAATTTTTAAAATTGTCTCCATTTTAATTTCTAATATCGTAAAAATTGATAGGTATAGCCCATATTTATAAACAAAAATTCTATAGGGTCTTCAACAATTTTTAAGTGTCTAAAGAGTCCTGAGACCAAAAGTTTAAGAACCACTGCCAAAGGATTACCTAGCTTTTACAGGAGATGGAAAATGAAACAAAACAGAACATGGAATAAAGATTCTGAAATTCAGTGATGTGCTTGGCAGATGAAATACAGGAAAAGAAATAAAAATTAAAAGCATGGTAGGAACCCCAGATTTTGGTGTTCGGATATTATGAGCAAAATTACATTAAGAACTTGAGCATCTTAGTTTGCTTATTTGAGTAGAAACAATACTTAAGCCTAGAGAATATTCCATGGTTGGGTCTGTTTGCCTATTTCAGTTACAACTTAGTATGTTATCCAGAGTTTGTTTTTGTGGGTTTTTTTTTTTTTTTTGAGGGGTGGGGTTAAGTAGGGGTCTTGTTTGTGTGAAATAAACTGGTATGAATTCTTATTGCTGGAAGCAAATGATTAAGTTTAATCACTTTTTCTCATTGCCCAAAGAAAGCTTATGAATGGACTTCAAAGGATGATAGGTGACACTCATGATATTATGAATGGTATCAGGAGTATGACTTTTGAATCAAAAACTAACTGGAAGACATTCTTAGAACCAGAAATAGTTCACATTCTCTAGAATTGAAAAAGTGTAACAGAGCAGGACTGAGAATTTTTGCATCCTTCAATGAATACCAACCAGCAACTCCAGGGGAATGTTTATCAGAACTCAACAAACACAATTCACAAAATGCAACCCAGGCTCGTACATAGCAAACACTTATGTGTGAAAGACAGTCTTTAGACAGCACAATGTCATAAATGTCTGAAGACTTTTAAAGATTGCTCCTGACACATATCACGGACAAATACTGACCAAAATACAGAATTACAAAATATCAAGATGACACAGGCCCTACATGATCTATGGGGAGGAAGAGGAAGAAAGGCACTGAGGGGGTGCAATACAGATGCATATACAAAGAGATATAAGGCAATCAACGCATGCGCTGGTGTGAACACTTACCTACCTACATTTGAATTTCAATGGTTCCAAGTTCTTCAGGTCACACTCATGGAAACTCCAAAGAATGGAGATCTGGAGAGAAGATCTTAAGTTGAAGAACCTTTTTCCCCCTGAGTTTTAAATTTAATGTTTAAAACATTGGTATAGATAGATTATAGGTCCAGAAAAGAATCCCAGTAACTCAACTGAAGTTATGTTGATCCGTATTATAAAGAATAAGTTCCTTAAGAAGACTGCAACACATGTTTACCTTATTCATAAGAACAGGCACTTAGAGACAGTAAGATTATTAAGCTTATCAGTAATTAGGACTTAATGATGAAACTTTGTCAAAATAAAATATATACAATTCAAAATACACAGTCTCTACATCAGTATGTATATATAGTATACTATTCATAGTAAAGAAGTACAATATTCCTATGTACAGGCTTGCATAAAAAAATCTATAATCAAGTAAATTATACACAGCTGACACAATAAACACAGGAAAATATAAATCTTGTTGACTTATAATACAAATTAGATAAAAACCATTTGGGCATAACAAAGACTGAAGAAAATTGCCCCTGACTAATGATATATATATTTCCAAAAAAGGATACAAAAATTAAAAATGACGTAAAACAGTGAATAGAAATGTTAAGTTCAAACAAGTTGTAGGGAAATAGTGAAAAGTAAGCTGACTTTACAGCTACCAAGAGGATGATTTGAAGTTAAAAACTTTGCACATCCACATATGCAGGTACAGTTTTCAGTTACTTATTACTTAATTATCTTTTTGTTGACTGATGGAGAAAAATGGAGGAAAGTGGAGAACTTTTATTCTAAACCTAGTAATGAGCA